TCACCCCAAGCTTTCCATCAGTAGGCAACAGAAATCCATTACCCGAGTGTATGGAGGCTTTGTTTCTATTTTTGTAGTCTGGGCTTTTTTTTTTTTTCGGCTGTTTAACAGAATTTTCTGCCATATTAAAATGTTACCCATATAGTTTTCCTTTTCTGTTCGTAAAAAATATCGTATATTGATAATTAGTTTTGCTCTCCGCCTTGCGACAAACTTGTAAATAAGATTTCATAGATAAATGGTGTTATTATGGTAACTGAGATATGAAAGACAGGTGTAAATGCGTTATTTAAGTTAAAGGGATAGTATTCGAGTCTGTGAGTCATCGATTGTGACTAAGCAAGGTCAAAAGACAAAGTCAGCCTTTCGCATCACCTCTAAAATTCTTGGCCATATTTGTTATATCTTAAGCATTCTTTTTTCTTTTTTTATTTATATATATATATATATATATATATATATATATATATATATATATATTATTTTACTAGAAAGACCCGTGAAAATTTTACGGTTTTCCTATTTTAATCTTATAATGAATCTTAATACTTAATTCTTTAATTAATGATTCAAAAGATCATGCGAAATTCTCCAACAATAAAATTTCTTTAAGTATTTCTCTATCGCTTCGTTAAATATTTGAGCTCAACAACTCTAACAAAATATTGTAATAACAATCATATGTATAAATACTGGTCATTATTTTAAAAAGCAGGTACAAAATTAAAAATTTCAAATTGACAAATTTTCTATTTCACTGAAACAGAAGTTAAACACTCCTTTCTTTCTTTCTTTCTTTCTTTCTTTCTTTCTTTTTCTCACTGAAACCAAGTAGCATCACTGATATATCATTTCCGTATTTTCACACGTTCAAAACTTCTGCTTGTTCCTTCTTTAGTCTGTTAGTTGGCACGACCATTATGCTCTGCCAATATCTCATAAATAATAGAATACTCCATTATTTATGAGATATTGACAGAGCATAATGGTCGTGCTAACTAACGGACTAAGAAAGGGACAAACAGAATTATAAGATATTAGCCGTTTTATCTGAGAACATTATTTTTTTTAAAAAAAAAAAGAATAATCATTAAGTATCGGAAAAATACACACATCAAGAACAAATAATTTTGAAAGTTAATTTTCAAGGGAATTATTCGTTTTAATGTCCGTTTTTTTTAGATAGCAGTGGACGGCGATGAAATCTTCCTAAGGCGCTGCCTGAATGGAGTTATTCTTTGATAACACGTGCGAGTGCGAAACGGTGAATTCGAAACAGATTTCTATAATCTGTTATTGGCATGGAAATTGGAATTTGAGAGCCAAGAACTAATACCTTACTAGTTTGTTTGCATTGACCTTGCACTAATGCCATTTAAAAAGACATTTATTCTCCCCCTCCTGATGTGATGGATTAAACAAGGTAGACTTAGCTTTTTAGGCTTGGTTGTTAGCCAATGTAGTAGAAGAACTCTGAATTTAAAACAGTGTTAAAGGCAACAAAAAGCTATTACTCTATTTTTATCTTAGTTCAGGAGTGGTCAAACTGGTTCCAAGCGACCTCACCTCGGGGTGTCGGTGAGGAGTTCCAGAAGGTCGATTATAGTCAAGGGATCGAATGGGGGGTCGGTGTTCGTGCAACTTGCCCAACAATACCAGGCCCACCCAATTTATCTCTGCTGAGATATTTTAATATATTAAATATTCTATGGTTTATTGTATCCAAGGCATTTTCTACTGCATATTGATTGCCCATTGTGCCATGCGTGATACACGCTTAGGCGATCATGATCATGTACCTTTCGATACATGACTCACAAGGCAGATATTTTTCCAGCGGTAGGTTGCCATGTCTTTTGCCATCCATTCAGACCAGTTGCCATCCAAGGCTATAGAACCCGGTCCTTTATTCATAGCTAAGAGGAGAAGAATGGATTCATGCCTTTCCAAGCCACGTAAAATAATACAATGGATCTGACTGGAATTCGAACTCGGATCTCTGATTCCTCAGTCCGATATCCATTACTAAATACTACTCTAATTATATATTTTAAAGAAGTGCCAAATACATCAAAAAGACCTCGATATTGCTATATTTTGAATTATATGAGTTTTTCATACATCTACAAGCCTACCCATCCTTGTGCCTTTTATAAGGCACTAATTAGTTAGGCTTGGTGTACTTAATATATTATTTGCTTGATTCCTTGGGGTTATTTAATATATATTCTTAAATATATTGCGGGGAGGGAATTCCAAACCTAGAGACTCTGGGGGTGATTTTGAACTTGACGCATTTTTTTTAACTTTCATACATTAGATTTTTTATTACCAACATCAGTGCGAGTTTTAAGGATCACAGATGTGTTAAATGGTTGTCGCTGGGGAGGTAGAGGAACAAACAGGGGACAGTGATCGAAAACGTTTGACGACCCCTGTCTTAGATAATACAGAAAATAAACCAGTGAATTGTCATGATTACGTACGCTTTGGTTTGTTTTACGGCATATCAAACAGAATGGGTACTGTTAAAGCACCTCGAGGTGGTGTAATGATTAGAACAATTACGACTGAGTAGTGAGTTCAATCCTTGCTGGATATCCCATACTTTCGGCCTTGAACCACATCTGAGCTACTCTTAGGAAATCCCTATCAAACACCGTGAGTTATTTAATACCGACAAATTTTATTGCTGGTAATATTTTCCTTCAAAAATGTATTGCTGGTAATATTTTTTTTTGCTTCATAAATGTATTACTGGTATAATTTTTTTCCTTAAAAATCATATCGGTGGAAATATTTTTTTTCAAAAAATGTATAGCTGGTAATTTTTCTTTACAAAAATATATAGCTGGTAATTTGTTTGCCAAAAATGTATTACTGAATTTTTTTTTTCAAAAATCTAAAGCTGGTAATTGTTTTTCAAAAACGTATAGCTGATAATAATGTATTGCTGGTAATAATTTTTCCTCAAAAAGTTTATTGCTGTTATTAAAACGTATATTTACACTTTCATAGTGTTTTGACCCCAGTTTGGGGGTTAGCTATTTGCCCATACTTGTAACCCTAAAAGGTGGTACCACTCCGGGTAAGGGTGCACCTGGGAACACCAGCAATTAAGAGGTGGTTCCTCGCTCCACAAAACCTCCTGACCAGAGGCCTTTGGACGTAGTTTATCGTGTTACCCCTGACGCAAATGTAGTTTATCGTCATACCCAGGACGCTGATCACGTACATCCTAATCATCCTGGGTATGACGATAGACTACATCCAACATCAAGGCCTCTTATCAGGAGGTTTTGAGGAGAGTGTAACCACCTCATAATTGCTGGTGTTCCCAGATTGGGATCACCTGTTAGGGTCCCAGCTATGGGCAAATAATTAACTCCCAAACTGGGATCAAAATGTGTAAAAATAGGTTTTAATGCCAGAATACATTTTTGTAAAAAATTATTACCAGCAATACATCTGTACCAGAAATACTTTTCTGGAAAAAATTGCCAGCAATACATTTTTGAAAAAAATATTACCAAAAATACTTTTTGAAAAAAAATATTACCAGCAATAAAAAATCTTGTCGGTATTAAATAACCCATTGAGGTTGATATTCCGTAAGACAAACCAAAGCAAACGAAAGTCCTAAAGGCATCGTCAAAAATATTAGAAGTGTAGTAGCAACAGAAATATGTTTGAGTTATTTGAATTCTGTAATAAATTATTGTTATTATCAATATCTGATTACTACGTTTTTGTTTTTTTTTATCTTAGGCTCCGAAATACTTTTCGTGCGTATTAAACCGCGAGAAATTCTACGGGATGCAAACTCGTTCTTTCTTCAAGAAGAATAGTTGGACACAAACAAGGTGTTTACGTGAAATCAGATAACCTATTGAAAATGACTGAAGACAGGTAATTTATTTGAGCCGCCCAGGAGAAAAGAAAGTCGACGGGACGATGTCATGGAGACTTTGTGTCTAGCTCAACTGACAGACAGAGCCTCTGAAATGATTGAAAGCCGACTCACGAAGAAGCCAATAGGACACTTGGTGGAAATCATCGTTGATTGTGCTCGTTGAGGAGGGAATACAAGGGGGAAAAAAGCAAGAGACGAAACTGAGACAAATAATGAACCAAGAGAATTCCGAAAAACAACCAGATGATGATCTTTTTGAAACGAATCCATCTTCCTTGCAGATAATCCAAATGTACATGCAACATAAAACTGAAATGTGGTAGAGTAAATTGTACCTGTAATATTTGAAAATCTGCAGCTCATAGTACGTTCTGGAGCCCAAAATGGTACTGGTAATATTAGCCGTTTCCTTATAAGGAAACATTCGGCATTCGGTAACAAAGCAGCCAGTAATTACTCGAGTTACGCTTTTCTTCACTCTTTTTTCCATCAGGCTGAGATCAAAGTGTAGTATACGTTATCTTCATTTCTAATGACAATAGTAATATTAGCGGTTTCTTTATAAGGAAATATTCAACATTCATCGACCAGGTAGCAAGTGCTGCTGCCGTTTGAAACTCATAAAATCCTTCTGTTAAAAGAATTTCCCTGAAAAATACCGTTCTCGAGTCCAGTAGCTGTTATCGCTCTTTCCAATAATGATGGATTAATAACCTTTCTAACCTTTTGTTTCGTGTAGTAAGGAACGTCATCATCTTAATAATGTCCGTATTTTCTCTTCGAAATACATGTGCTATCCCTTTTAGTAATTGCTGCTGTTGGAATTCTTCAAATGACGTGGTTTCTGTTATTTGGCACTGTTCTTTGTGATTCTTTAGTCCCAACCACGGGCTTCAGACAAGTATGGTCTTTGCTAAGACATACAGACCTTCAAAGCCATTTTTAACAATTGATTTGAGAAAGCGGTTTTATACCTCTGACAGTTCAGATATTCCGAAAAGATGATGTAAATTGCTGAGCGATTGACAGAATGGGAACTAGAGAAAAATTATGAGTATGCATTGTGCGTCAGATAAATAAAAACGGCATACGGCCATATCACGCTGAAACATTGGTTCCCGTACGATCACCTAAGTTAATCAACGTCGAGCCTGGTTATTACCAAAATGAGTGACCATCTGGGAATATCAGATGCTGTAAATCTGGATGTACTCGTGGTGCAACGGATAGTGGCTTGGAATTGTTAGTTGGAGAGCCGAGTTCCACAATTTCAGTTGGGTTCGTTATATTCACTGGCGCGAAAATAACATTTTTCTCGCCACAACTGTGGGTTAATTAGTAAGATTTGTGTCATATAACATTATCGTCTCTAAAAAGAAAAATTCGTACAATATAAATATATCTTCTGGTTTTAACTAACATGCAAAGATTTGATAAGCTGTAGAAAACGAACCAATTAGATCATAAATGAAAATAAATTAAGGATGTAAAAAAATGCCCGGATCATGTACTTCCTGTCGACAATCAGATCCACTTGAAGTTCAACATTTCAAGCGGATCTGATTGTCGACAGGAAGTTCATGATCCGGGCATTTTTTTTTTTATTTACATCCTTAATTTATTTTCATTGTTAGTCTTCAATAAGTCCTTGCTATTTTGGGGTCTAGTACTGTTCTCTCTCTTGACGATTACTAGACGGGGTAGTTCGTTAAGGTAATTTCTGTTTTGCTGTAGTTGTCTCATTCAATTCCTATCTGTATGATTGCGGTTTCCTTACAATAAACTACCCTTATTTTTCAGTAATCTTTTTTTTTTTATTTATAAGGACATTATATATCGCTTAATGTTTTGTTGGTTTCTCGAAACCGCATTTCACTGATCCTACAGGCCTTAGGACTTATGTGCGACAATTTCCATGTTTCTGTCACTACAAAACCAATATAGTTTTGTAATTGCTTGTTTTCTGACATTTTCGATACGTGGCCTGCTAACGATTTTACAAATATTCTGTATTTTTAGAGTTAGCGTTTAGTCCATTATTATTGCTTTCATTTTGTCTACATTATCTCAGTTTTTTTTTTACAAGCGTTATTTTGTTTGTTTTTCTTTTCCCTAACAACTAAATATGTTATTATATATGCAAATATTCGAGTTATATTGCATTGTCATAACCGATACATATTTTAAGCAGGTTATATAACGAGGTATTTTATAAATACTATACTTGCACTTCTCGCTCGTGGGACTCCCTACCAGCTCCATGGTTTGACGTCAATTTTAATTGCTAAGATGTAAATGAAATGTCAATCGCTATCTAGTGTCCTTCTGATTACTCTTTTTATTCTCACTCATTAATAATGGTTCTATTATTAATTCTTCTATACCCATTTAACCAATGTGTTTTAGTGGATTTACTAACTTGCAAAGGGTGGACTAGATTCATATATATATATATATATATATATATAATTGACTCTCTACTTATGTATTGAGCACTGTTTTTTTAAAAATAAAAATAAAAATACTAAAGAACTTCCGATTATTTACCAAACGTGTTCTTTCCTATGTTTCTATATATTTGCACGCACACACGCACGCACATACACAAATATATATATATATATATATATATATTAACGCAAATACTGTATTAGTCGCTTGTACTATGCGTCTTTTTAACAGGTATTAAATGTATATAAATATAAAACTACATTTATTGCAGTGTTTACAATTTATTTAAACAAACAAGGAGTGATTTTATCAAATTCTAATAACACCATTCTTTAAGAAAGAATACCGTAATTTCTCGAAAATAATACGCACCCATAAATAACACGCACCCCAACAAATTATCCAAAAATTAAGAAATATATATCCCTATGTATAATATGCATCTATATTTTTTTAAATAATTACGAAGATAATTTGTCGACGTTGACATTATGATAATGTTTTACTCTTGTATATAAATACTTGTCATAAAATAAATTTTTACTCTTGTATATAAATACTTCACACAAAATAAAAACCTTCCATTTCCCTTGATAAAGTCTCTGAGAGTATGAAACGCGTCAGCTAAGATAAGTTTTTCTTTTGTCTTTATTCATAACCATTTTAATGGGAACCCTCTAACTTGGGTGTGGCTCAAGAGACATGTATTGGATGAGTTCTAGTATTAAAAACGTGTACATTTATATCGAAGTGTTCGCGAATTAAATCGAGCAGTTATCCTAAAATGTCTTTGTAACACATGTCTTATATGGCAGCAAATTTTTGGAAAATTCCAAACGCTGCTTTCACTTTAACCGCAGATATTTACATCCATCTTTTCGTAAGGCGATTATCAAACGCTCACGAAAAATTCCCTACGAATTTCCGAAATGTAGTTTGTGAGGCTCGCTGCGAATATCTACAGTACAACAAATATCGAATAATGCATTTTTCGCTTTAATTGAAAACTGTCATCCGCAGACGTAAATCCATCAGGCTACAGGAAATTGGATTATCTAATAATACCCTTTGGTGATATTTAATTCCAGAAAACTCTCCCAACGAAATACAGTAAATTCTTGGCATGGATTTCGAATCGGCAACAACCACAATGACCATATCAAGTCAGTGGCTTCCACAATTGTTCGATTCATAAAGCGCTTGAATGAAATTTTAGAAAGATGTCATGCGCAGTCAATAAATGCGTATAGCTGTTGTTATTTGCAACAGCTAACGGCAGAATTTGAGAATGGTCTGGACTTATGTTTTCTCGCGTCTTATTATTTAGTCATCGTCGTTTAGTCTTGTCATAAGGCTACAAGTATATTCTTAAATAACGTCCTCGGATCTAGACTCGCATGTGGATTTCATGCATGGTGTCCACTGGACCTCATAAGCCGACGCTACAGAATCGTAAACAACATTATTAAATAACAAAAAAAAAAACACGGCAGTTCAAGACTTCACGGCAGCAACAATTAAAATGGATAACACATATAACTAGAAGAGAAAAAATAACATAATCATGGTCTTAACTATACTATTTTAAACAAAAGGTTTGAAAGGAATCTACTTGAGTGATAGAAATACACTTGAAATCTATTTTTCTGAAACACTCCTTTAAGAGAAAGATTATAAATAATTTCAATCGACAGTAATTCTAACTCCTCTGTTAATGAATGCCGAATGTTTCCTGTATAGAAACGGCCAACAATACCATAAGGCATCTAGCGAAGATCAAAGGGTCTGCTTGTGAATGATACATTATTCTTACCATTAATCAAGGTGACTATTTTTCTTTTGAGGCCTTCTTCGGGCTTCCTTTTCTACCTTCCGTTAATAAGAAATTTCTACTATCGATTGTTATGGGTTCTTTTTTTATCATTCTAACTTTATATTAGGTTCGCCAAAAGTATGATTCTGTGCTGGTTTTTACATGGCATTAGGCCAGTTTAGTTTTAATTACAAAATGATCGCTTTAGGTTCTATAACAATAGCTAGATCCTAGAGTTCTTCTGTTAGCTTTTTCAAAATTTTAAAACGTTCATAAACCTAAATCTGATACATCTGTGTTGATATAGCGATGAACGTTCATGCCTATGAAACTGGGGGTGACGCATGATTCTTTAACTGGGTATGTCAGTTCAATGCACATCGTGTGCGACACGCTCCTCTATGTCCTATCAGTCTCGAGCTAGTTTTTTTATATACTAAAGTTCACCCAATGTAGGGATCAGGAATCACTTAAGTTAGAGGGATACCGTTAAAAAGTTTATGATAAAAATAAGTACGTGATATGCATGAAAGCGGAAGTGGTCGAAAAGAGAATGATTATGAAGATAAGGAGAACAGATAACGATTGACACTTGACATGATGAAGTTCAGATTATCAGGGAGATATCCACACGGAAATCTGTTACACAAAATAACATTTCTTGGGAAAAAAAAAACATGCTTGAGTATTATTATCTTGTTAAAAATTAAATACGTGTGAAATATATTTGATTTGAATCAGTAGATTATCGAATCTTGTCCTAGTTGTTTGGTTTGGTTTGTTTTAAGGCATATCAACCTCAATGGATAATTTAATGCCGACAAAATATTTATTACTGGTAATATGTTTTTCTTTAAAAATCTATTTCTGTGAATATTTTTCCTTGAATAAATCTATAGCTGGTCATATTTTTTTCAAAGAATATATAGCTGTTTGTATTTCTATTTTTTTCCTTAAAAAGTATTGCTGGTAATAATTTTTTTATTAAAATTATTTCTGGTATTAAAACCTATTTTTACACAAGTTTGGGTGTTAACTATTTACCCATAGCTGGGACCCTAACAGGTGCTACCATCCCGGGTCATGGTGGACCTGGGGACACTAGCAATTAAGAGGTGGTTCCACGCTCCTCAAAACCTCCTGAGGCCTTGTTGCTGGACGAAGTTTATCGTCATACCCAGGACGCGGATGTAGTTTATCGTCATACCCAGGACGGGTCCTAGTTATAAATGTTTGAACTGGGTTAAATAAAGAACGGTAGCTCTTTGAACATTTGCCATGGAAATATTTTTGTTGCAGACAAGTCGAAGGTAGGAGCTGTGATTCATGACTAAAAAAGCTAATGGGATGAAAGAATTAAAAACTTCTTCAAAGAGGAATCCCTTTGGCAGCTTACTCATTCCAGGCCGGTGACCGTCACTAGGGCGAAGTTATATTTTGACGCTGTTCGCTTTCCCTACTTTCAAAGATTTGTAAGAGCCGTCGTACCTCCCTGTTGAAGCAGGGGAATAAACCAAAATGATTCCCTCAGCTGTTTTTTTCTTCTTCTTTTTTTTTTAACGACTTTGATTTTTTCTACCACGGATTAAATTTTCGATCATGCCATTTTTTCTGCATAGCGCCACTGTGATCACTCCTGAAGCGGCATCTAAAACGTGCAACATTACACAGGAAATTCTTGAAAATCCTGCACGCAGCACTAAAATCATTAACTTTATAAATGTTATTTTCATACATTCTATTTCCTTTTTTTATACTTAGGTTCTAAGCTTAGTCTGACACAAGGACACAACACTGAAACTCCAGAGACAATAAAAATACATTAAAAACATCATCAGCAATGCAAGCATAACAATAACCTCTGTTCGATAGGTACTTTCCAAATATTTACTATATTAGATTACTTTGATGATGGAATTTATGACAACGGGATCAA